GCCCAACGCCCAACGCCCCAGCCCAGGCTCCCTCTACATGAAAAAACAGTTAAAAAATGGTATCAAGCGGACAACACACCCAGTGCAGTCCTCTGTTCTAGAGAAAGAGAGAAAGGAACAGAGAATCATTTTGAGCTGCATGCACAGAGGATCAACTGCTGCCGCGCGCCGGAGAGAAGGGGAGAGGAGAAGCAATGGGATGGTTTTTCTTTTTCTTTTCTTTTTTTTTTTTCATCTTGGAAGTGTGGGTTCATCACTCCCTACTCGCCTCTGCAACGCGTATGTGATCAACATGGTAACAATTCTAAAATCAGCACTTAATAAAATTTTGAGCCAATTAAGTATGAATTTGTGTAGTCTTATGTTTAAAATACATATTAAAAGTATATTAAATATATTTTTATAAATAATTAATGTAAAAGTTAATAAAAATTAATTTTTATTTCAATATTATTATCATGTTTATAATTTTAATTAAGTAATTAAATTTAAGTTAATTTTTATTTATATATATTTATTATAAAATAATTTATTTATTATACTCTTAATATATACTTTAAAGATACAAAATAAAAATATCCATTAAATATACCCTTAAAACTTTATATATAACAATGTATAATTTAGCCACCAACTTAACTAAAAGTAGGTCATTGCAATTTTTTTTTAATTTAAACTTAAAAGTAACATATTCTAATTCGTTCATGCATGTAAAATAAAGAGTGTTATACAGTAATCTAAAATACTAATAATAATAATAAGTTTGTGAGAGGCAGAGGAAAATTCCAGGGGATTGGATGAACGCGCGGTAAGTGAAGGAGGAGGGACGTGCAGTGCAGTGCAGGTGTAGAAATGTGTGTGGTTTTACGGGGAAACTAAAATCCCAAGAAAAGCCTGATGGACAGCCGTGTAAACAAAAGGAGCCGTACTCAGACGCCAACTTTAGCGGCTACCCTATGCCTATCCACCTCTTCCACCTTCAAAGATCGCGCCCAGATTTTCTCCTCCTGCGACTCCGCTTCCTCAACGCCAACCTTGTCTTCTTTTCTCCTCTTTTAGAAATAGACACCGGAGAGTTGGAAGGGACCGGAGTTTTTGTTTGTAATAATGCATAGCTTCAAAGCAGCTCCAGCTAACCCAGAACTCTATTGCCACCCCTCTTTCTTTCTCAGGTATTGCTTTCCCTTAAAGTGCATGTCTTTGATTACAAGGCACTGAATATTGATGGTTTATGTGAATAAAAATAACAAAGTGCTCTGTTTCTGTATTGGGAAGAAATGGCAAAAAAAGGTGGCTCATTTTTCTTTTCTTTGTTTGAGTGGGAAACAGAGGGGATGACTGTAGCCGCAATCAGACGCATTTCCTGGATTTTGGTGAGCTTGATCAACACCCGGCTGCTGCTTTTCATCACGATGATGCTGTTGATTTAAGCCCAAGTATACTCTTTTACACACGTATAAGAAACACAGAAAAACTGTTTTTTTTTTTTCGTTCTCCTTTCAGTTCCCCTAACTACTTCTGGGGTTTATTTTATTCTCTGTAGGCTCCATATTCTGTTTAAAATCGAGAAATGTTGCTGTTCTTGCTAATAACTTGCACTATGGCGCCTTTAACACGGTACCCTAACTCCACTCACTTCACCCTGAGCATATGTATATATATGGATTTGATTTCGAAGTTGTTTAGTTGCTTCTGTGGGTTGGGATATAAACCGCTATGTGGGTTTGTTTGTGCAGAGCATTGGGGCGACAGAGATAATTTCAAGCGGAACGGGGTGTTTGCACACAGGGCAGTTCATGTACCAGAAGGGGACGACGATTGGTGCCTCGTTGGGAAACGGGCATATTGAGAACTGGGGTGACTCGGGGCTTGTAGATAATAGCCAACAGACTGAAACTTCCACAGATGTTGATACTGATGATAAAAACCAGGTTTGGTGTTTGCTTTGATGCTCTTTGTTTTTAATATCATCTTGGGTGGGGATGGTGCACTAGAATCTTGTCTTGTTCTGCATTTTGATTAATTTGTTGGCCTTCTTTGATTGTCATTGAAGACTTCAGTACTTGATAGTTGAGAGGTCATTATGGGGGCCTAAATCAGATGAACAGTAAGGCTCACAGTATGAGCAGCTATCGGACAGGATTATCTATTAATCTGAAGTGTCTGGAAGTATAATGTATGGATTGTTGGTGATTTAGAATCTGACTGCAAATATAAGTTTCTCTAAAATTTACTTTTTTTGTGGGATAAGTTTTAGGTTTGGTTATTAGTTGTCTGAGTGGAAAGCAACAGATGAATTTGGCTCTTAATTGTCTTGTAGCTTCATGGAATTTGTCGTGGATCTATTACAGCTGTGGATTCCTCGGATCAATCCAAGCAAAAAGCTAGTGATCTGAAGGTATTTGATGTCAGCTGATTTCTGGCGTGTTGCAGTTGCAGATTAACCTCCATATGAACTATGTAGACTAATCCTTATATTGTGTTACTCTCCTGCAGACACTTCGTAGACTGGCTCAGAATCGAGAAGCTGCAAGGAAGAGTAGATTGAGGAAGAAAGTAATTTGACTCTTGCTTATTTATTATGTTCTCTTCTTTCCATGAATTAGTGGGATTCTTTGGCTATTCCCTAAAATTGGTTTTCTGAGTTTCCCAGTCTGATTTTCATGTTATCATTCTGCTGAATTCGCTTTTACCTTTCTGTTTCAATATAACAAATATATGGGGGGGTCATGTACCACATTTATCTTGTTACCCATCATGAAGTTTAAATTCTTGTCTTTTGTATAAAATTGATAGGGTTTAATTGGTATGTATTGGAATTAGTTTTGTCATCTACATTCTTTTGTCTTAAGATAATGAATGAAACATACTGGGATCATTTATAGGTTTTCATTTTTGGATAGGCATACCTCCAGCAGCTCGAGAATGGTCGACTCAAGTTAACACAACTTGAACAAGAGCTTCAGAAAGCACGTCAGCAGGTACATTAAGTATTCCCTTGTTTTTTTCAAAGTGTGGGCGTGCAGAAGGGAATTTTTCAATCTCTTTCAAATTTAAGTATGTAGAGACTAACTCTCTTCCTTCTTTTCTGTGCTTTCATTTATAATGCAGGGTATATTTATTGCAAGTGGTTTTTCAGGTGACCGAGCCCATGTGGTGACTGGAAATGGTAAGTCATCTAGGATTCTCATCTTGTGTAAGTTTTAAATCTTATTGGTGCTTCTTTTCTTGTGGTGAATGGTATGTTGGTGCCTTGAAAAGCCACCGTGTCAGTTACCAGATATATTTGGGTTGAATATTTATCACATGGAAGATAAGGTCCTAATTGCATGATTTATTGTACCTCATTATGCTTCCAGGAGCATTGGCTTTTGACATGGAATATGCTCGCTGGCTTGAAGAACATCAACGGCTGATAAATGACTTAAGATCAGCTGTAAGTTCTCAGATGGGAGATAGTGAATTGTGCCTTCTTGTTGATGCTGTGATGGCGCATTATGCTGAAGTATTCAGGTTAAAGAGCATTGGTACAAAGGCTGATGTATTTCACATGCTTTCTGGCATGTGGAAAACACCTGCAGAGAGATGTTTCATGTGGTTAGGTGGATTTCGTTCATCAGAAGTTCTCAAGGTGATCTGTTCATTATTTTTGGTCTTTCATCTTAATCTTGTTGTTTTGGTATTGGTTGTGTGATATTTAGTCTTTCTTTTAATTTTATCTCTATTTTTGGAATTTAGATCCTTGCAAACCACCTTGAACCTTTGACAGACCAGCAGTTGATGGGCATATGTAATCTACAGCAGTCATCCCAACAGGCTGAAGATGCTTTATCTCAAGGAATGGAGGCTTTGCAACAATCTCTTGTGGACACACTTTCACCTGCCTCGTTGGGTCAAGCAGGATCTAGAAATGTTGCTGATTACATGGGCCAAATGGCAATTGCAATGGGTAAGCTTGCCACTCTGGAGAACTTCCTTCACCAGGTAAAAATGACTTGAAACTTGCAGTTTACTAACTAACAACGACATATGCTAGTTTTCAGTATTAATTTTGATACATAGTCATGGCATTGTGTTTTTCTCTTTTCAGGCTGACCTTTTGAGGCATCAAACACTGCAACAAATGCATCGAATTCTGACCACTAGACAATCTGCTCGTGCGCTTCTAGTCATCAATGATTATACTTCTAGGCTCCGGACACTCAGCTCTCTATGGTTAGCACGTCCTAGAGACTAATATGCTCACTTTCTACAGATACTGGAACCATTAAGCAGGTGAAAGCATGGTACTAACTTTTCTGAGGTATCCTCATCTTATTGCTGTTGCAATTTTTCCATGATGTAGGACAACCCGTACCCTACTTATTTGTCAACCAAAATGGATATGTCAAGAAGAGCCTTGTATAGTATGTAGCTTATGAGCAATGTATTCCAAGTAACTTAGCTTTATGTAAGTATGCAACTGAGTCATATCCTTCCAGGAATTGATTAGATGTGCTAATTACCTTATAATGCAATACTGACCATATTAGGTTACTTAGTTCAGGAGGTTGAATGAATGATCTTTTTCACGGACTTTGGTGAACCTTATAGATCATAATGGCGCCATCCACACAAAGAAATTCTCTGAATTCGTGTATTGTCATACAGAATATGCTTGTATGGTTAAGCTTTTAATTACAGGAGTATAATCCAACGTTATGGGCCAATCCAAACAGTTATTAGAATAAATTAATGTACATTATCCCATCCCCTGCTTCTCCCCTTCTCCTGATTATTACAGAATCATCAATCATGGTTGCTTGCTCTGTACCGGCTTGTATATTCTCTGCCTCCCGTTGTTCATCCTTTCTGCAAAATGGGCAAGTAGATGATCAGACCAAAATCCAAATAAAAATTAAAAATAAACGATGCTCAACGATGCTTGAAATCTGGCTCTGGGAACAAGAATATTTGACTAACCGTGCCTGTTTCTTCTTCTTGAACTGACAATATTAGGGATGAAAACTCCTGTTCCATTGCTACTTTTCCACAAATTCACAAGCCAAGTCGGCACAGAATCAGATTTTTCATTCTTCCCCCAAGTGAAATAGCTTCCAGGAGCTCGGACCCCTGAAGAAACAGCGCCTATGACCCTGTTTGAGCCTCGAGGGTAAGTCCTTTCTTGACGGTCATCATCATCTTCATCTGCTGTCAAAAGCAGAATCTGCCTTCTAATCTCAGCATAGAAAACATCATCTTCATCTATCCCTTGATACTCATGGCTCCCCTCGGTATTCATGCCCTCGAAATCCTGGAAACTGCTATAGATTTCCATGAGAAAACCTTAAAACTCGAAACTTGTTTCCCAGATGAAAAAGGATGCCCATTTTTATAGTAGTATCTGTAAGTAAAGACACATTGTTTAAGGTCAATGTTGCAGCCGGGGTTTGGTGAAACGCCTCCAAATGGAACTTGGTGAAGGGGAATGTCTGTTTTTGTACGTTAGTTCATGTCTCTTCCCCCAACTGTGTCATTCATTTAATTAATGCATGCTCTAGATTGGTTTGTTAAACCAAATTGATTATAACCCAACATCCAGAATTAGCTTTTTCTGCTCAACATCGCTTTCAATGTTCTGAGGAAAATGATTTGAGTTCCTGGAATTCATGAATAATGGGTAAACAATAAGTATTGGCATCCAGCGACTAATTGACTACTGCAATGGATACATTATGAAATTTAAAAAAAAAAATGACGTGCCAACATTTGGATGGTCAATATTACTGGTCATCTATATCTAGTTTATCTACTTATTTTGGATTAAAAAATCCAAAACATGGCAGGTTTGTTTAGTCAATTGTGTGGTTAAATGTTTGAGGTTTGTTTACTAACTATACTTTCAAGAGTAGTTCAATTAGGTACATAACCGAGCTACTCCTGCAAGTTAGACAAACAAGATGTAACTATCCCTTCCTTTTACCCTTTTTGAAGAAAGTCTTGGTGCCATGGTGACACTAGTCAGTAGTTGTTGTTGTTGGTGTGTGTTCTTTCCCTTTTTTTTTCAGCAAAAAAATTGATTCTACAGGTACAAGGGTATCCAAAGCCATTTACAATCCTTAATTACAAATCCTTCATCCAAGCATCAGCAAGCATAGTTAGGCGTAACCTTGCTAAGTAAACCTCAAGCTTACAAGAGAAAATTCTTTTAAAGTAGGTCTACTACATTTTTTTTTTTCAAATTAAGTGAAAGTTTAAATTTTAAGTTTTATATAAATGAAAATACTTCAATTAAGTCTCTTGTAAGTGTATTGGGGTTTTTTGAGGGGTCCAAAATACATTTTTTTGACAAATAATTAAAATGTTAAGTACTTAATAATTTTAATTAAATAAATATTAAAATTAAAAAATAAAAATAAGTAAAACTCTTCCCCTTCTTTTTTTTTTTATTATCTTGATTAATAATTTTTATTTTAATATGTGAATATAATTCAAAATTTTAGTTTTAATTACCAAAATTTTGATTTTTTTTTTATTAATATGGTTCTTGCCATTAACCAAATTCTTTTAATCTTTTTAAGTAAAAAAATATTTTGATATTTAATCATTATCCAAAGTGAAATATTTTAGTTAACTAAATTTTTAATTATATTAATCAAACTTAAAAAAATATTTTTAAATATCAAGTAATTTAGAATTGAACAAAATATGTCCATATTTAACAATGAACAATGTAATAAGAAAAGTGGAGAGAGAAAGAGTTTTGATTGTCATTTTTTAATTTGTTGTAGTTTATTTAATTAATTTTTTTATATTAGTCCATAAGTATTCGAAAGTTACATTAAATCTTAATTAATCTGAAATCGAGTTGTATTTGATCCTAGAGAAGCTCTTTATGTGTTTATTTCTTTATTTATAGGATTTAAACTCAATATCTTTTTAAAAGGAATTTAGCTCATTTTGTTAAGATTAACAAGTCTGTTAGTGTTTATTTAATTAATATTAATTAATAAAAATTTAATATTTTAACTATTCTTAATACACTTATAATGAATTTTGTCAGAATACTTTTACTTCTATAAAATTTAAAATTAAATTTTCACTAAATGAAAAAAAAAAAAAAAATTCCTGGTGTACATACCATTAAGAAAATTTCCCGACTTACAATATCCCATCACAAAAATTACAGTCCCACACCTTACAACATGACTATTACCTGCTTGGGGACACTAGTAATTAGTACCCCACTATAGTAGACTCGTTAGAGAATTTCTGTTCATATGATCAATCTCTTACAATGATAGGACTGGATCCATCAACATTGCTAAGGTGTCTATACATGATAACTATGAAGTCAGAGGCCGAACTTCAACAATTAAAAGGTTTAAAAACCTAATTGAAACACACGCAAAAATTGAGAACCGCCTATGTAATTTATCCTAAATAAAGCTTAATAATAAAAA